GAGTAAGCAGTATCCGAACCAGGCACAGGATCCGAACCTTGTGAGGTCCCCAACGAATCCACTGGTGGTGAGTAGCTAGTTGATTTTTGACAGTTTACAAAGAAACATAGAAAACATTAATCGATAAAGACTAATCAATATACTTTGACTCTTAAATCTTTCAACAAATTTGGACTACATATGCTACAAGCCATTGTTATTGACAAGACAAAGAGAATCTTTATGCTTTTGCAAATGGTAGTTTATCGAAAGAAGAGAAACAAACTTGAGCTTTTACCACAAATTCTAAAGACATATCCTAAGATTAATAATTACAAAACCCAATAACAAAGTTTGAATTTTTTTCAAAACACAAAACATGAAAAACGGAGCAAAAGTAAGTGAGAAATTCAAGGTCACACTGATTTTACCTTGGAGAAGAAGGGCAAAACGTGACCGTATAATCACCACCGGAGCAAGTAAAAGTACTAGTAGCATCATCATAAGCATAACTATAAGACCGAGGACAAGCAGCTTTAAACATCTCCGAATAAACCGAAGGTCTACAAGTCGACGGTGTAGCATACGCGCCACTACAACAATACTCAGGACTCCTAATCGCTTTTACACGCGTCTCCGGACACTGAACATTCAGATCAGAACTAGAACCAGTAGAAGCACACTGACCAGATCCATCCTTCCTCGATCCTAACAGCTTCTCACTGCAAACAAAACCCACAATCAACACGCTCATTTACACCTAACTACATTGTCAATAATGAAGCTCCTCAATCCAATCTTTGTCAAATTCAATCCAAGCTATTCCAACAGAGTGAGTTTAGAACGTTGACACTAAATAAGTTGATCACACATACATAATACTTACACATTGTACATTTCTTTTTCAGTCCAATCTTTGTCAAATACAATCCAAGTTATTCTAACCGGTATAAGAACGATGACACTTACTAAGTTCATTGCTTATACATGGTACATTTCTTTATCAACCCAATCTTTGTCCAATTCAATCCAACCGCTGAAAACACTCCTCGAGTTTTTCGATTCAATCTAATCAAACCTTCCATACAACGATACCGTCGATCATTAAACGGCAAGCAACACCGTCCTTTTTCCCACGCGCCACCAGTTTCAAGTCTATAGGACACACGCCGTTCAAATCCACGAGACAACCCGTCGACGATTCTCTTGGGGAGGATTAGCACCGTCGTAGAAATCTAATCCTCCGGTACCGTTTAGTGTAAACTCGGCGAGTGTTGCTGGTGGTTTAGCTCCTGAACCGGAGCCACAATCTGCGGTTATGCAAACGAATGAACCGGAATTGGGATCTTGTGAACATAAAAGGTTCTTGCCCAGAGATGACCGGACCATGAATCCGGTATATGAACGGTTTTGTTTGGATTTTCCTCTTGCTAGACGAAAACCGGTGGTTGGGAGAGTAAACCGGGCCATATCGTGTTCCGGCAACGGTTTGTGATCTTGAACGAAATCGGTTCAACTTCTGTAATCAGACATTAATCGAATCAAAGAGGGTAATAAGAGATTATTCAACTAGATTAATCAAGCAATCACGAAACGTAATCGAATTACCTGAAACTGATAGTAATAAACCCAAGATCATAAACAACAAGACGATTCGATTCATCATTCATTGCTTGTAACAAATGTGGACTCTGGAGTTGAAATAATCTCTTAAGAATAGGATTGAGAAAGTGGAATTTTGAGTAAAAAGCTAACAACTTGAGAGAGAAAGCATTTTGTTTCTTTCAACGACCACTTGAACCGTATCAAACCGGAACCAATTGGGTTGCCTAACTGTTTATAAAACCGGTTTAATGATCCTGTTTTCTTCTTCTCCATTTGACCGTGTGCACGTGGGACGTTGTGAGTGGAGTTGTGGACCATTTGAACATGTTCGATTAAATTCTAGAGCATTCTATTAGAGATTATATATA